TTMWWCWRMKGACCTGTCTCACYCTCCAGACAGAAGAGCTACTAATACAAGCAGCATTTCCCTGYCATCCACCCACTGGAATAACTTGATTACAACAAGAACAAGCAGATTGGGAAGTTCTTGTTGCAGATCAATGTGGAGTGGTTTACTAGAAGAAATGGCTGTATCCAAGAACCAGCAATTCTCATCACCAAACAGTGAACAAAAAAGGGCTCAGACTTTGACAGGAATACTCRTTTTTAGATTTTATGTGGAATTTAGAGATAGGTTTAGATACAGCAGAACTTAATTGAGGTGTATTGTTCTCCTCTGTGTAGAGCCATGCAAAATTCCTTGTAGTAGCACCAGTTCCAACCTATCCAAATCTCATTAGGGTTCATTCCTTGTACTATGTATGTAGTACTAGTAGTTGTAGTGTTTTTGTTGCGTACCATTCCTGAGAGAAGGATGAAGGAGSACAAGGTACCATGGAAACTGACCTATGCAGCTTWTGTATCAGATGAAACAAAAAGAAGAGGAGAACTTTTGAAGAAACAAGCACTACAGCCATAGCATAGCATCAGTTCGGATTTATACGGAAGTTACTAGTTTACCTGAAGTCGCTTGTTCGTAGTTTGGACCAGGATTGATTGCCTGTTGTCGTTCCATTTGGTGGAACACCAACAGTAGAGCACTCGTATGAATTAGCGATAGCGATAGCATGCGTGAGGATTTTTATATWGTATATTTTCAATCCATTAGGTTTGCGAAGAACGTGGATAMAGGTTAATGAGTTGCGCGTTCAACTTGTAGAAAACACATACGTAGTGTAGCACCCGAATGATCTGATGGTATGAAGTGCAGATGGCATCGTGTATTTCTGGATATCGGAAAGACTCCCCCCTCTATATATATTTAGACGTGTAACGACTTGATGAACGACCAATCGGTCAATAGCTTTATTTGATTGGTTGATCAAGCTTTGTTGTTCCTTTCGTTGATATTTAACACACTCCAATTCCAACACTTTTGGACCATACTTCAGCCGTGTGAAGAAGGATTGCGTTGTCGGAGCTCGACAAGGATTCGACGTTAGCAAAACTTCCTGTTTTCTTGATTAATTTGTAGATCAGATTGACAGCAAAGATCTTGAATTCACGAAGAGATTCGAGCCGTTCGGCACCCCTTGTAAGAGATGTGCGCAATGCGGTAGATTGAGCATTCGTGAAGCCCTTTCCCTGAGATCGCGAGGTATCTAAAAATAGAGTGGGATGAAGAGCGGCTCGGTAAAAGTAAAACTCTGCCTCGAGTTGTTTTGAGGTAGCTAGTAACTGCAAAACTTTGGTGCTGCTCTGCTCMGGATCCTCTTTTGGAGCAGTGCACATGAAAAACGCAGCGACATTGGCACAGGCGCGCATGGCTTCTCCATTAAAAGGATTTGAGCGCTGGATWATTTGGGAGGTGATGTGCTTCACRGTGTTAAGATCCAAAACAGGGGCAACAAGCATATCCTTATCCGAGTCAGCATTGTTGAGGCACCCGCGTTGATTGCTTCCTCCTTGCGATGAATTCTCGTCCGTATCTGAAACCACATCCGATTTGTAGGTATCCTGCTTGTACTCATCATCGTACGTAATCAAGTCACGGGATGTCATGGTAAACGAAGACCCAAATGGTGGTGTGACAATGCCCGAACCACCCTTTCGAGTACGCGATATGCCTTTCTTCTTCATCGCTTTTTTGACATACTCCTCAAGCTTTATGGCGACCTCAGAGACTACTAGTGACTGTTGCATCTGTTCGGTCTTGTCATTCTTCCCACCAGTGCTCGCGTCGTCACCAGTTTCCTCGGGTTCGAAGATTAGGGCCTTGACGCTGGTCGGTGATGGAGCTGGATTCGATACGATCGATGTGTCCACTTCAAAGTCAGGTTCCGGTTGCGGCAAGATGCGTGGTTTCTTGGCAGAACTCATCTGCTCCACATGGCTTCTTTTCGATGAAAAAAACCCTTGTCGGTGTTCATGCTCTTCGATAGAATCCTCTTCATCGGACGAAGAATCGTTCTCTACATTGTCCGCATCGCTAGTATTGCTACTACTGGTACCAGCCAAATCGCTATTCTTGCTCAGTTTCTGMGCCGATAGCCGAGAGAATCGTTGCTTCCTCCCATCGACCCCCGGGCAGGTTCTCCGCCGAACTTGATACAGATCCTCTGGGTGATCACGATGGAATAGGTTGTGCTTGTAAATCCAAACATTGCGTTCTCGGTTGATTTTGCGGAAAGAATAAAAGTTGAGCTGTCTCACCAAAGACTGGAATCGATTGTGGCGAAAGTATTGTGGTAGCGTCTCGGATTCGAGGCGATTCAAGTCTGATCCAATGATGAAGGCGTCTCCAGTGGGTGTCCACTGAGAAAATTGTTCAAACAAAAAAAATGAGAACGAAGTGTGAGAGGTGTCAAAAAATTAATCGTGGGAAAGGGAAATTTAGTCACGGACGATAASAAGATCACATCATCTCATAACCCAAACGAAGTTAAATACGAGCAATCATAGCCTCAGAATCTTGCTTTGGAGAAGGATCGGTCGGAGAAGCCAAGCGAACCCTAATTTCGTGCACGCGTGCGAAAGATCCAATTGAGTGCGCAGTTCAAGGGGGAAACAAAAGGGGGATTTTGTTRTGATCGACAAWTATGGACAATTTCATAACAAAAACTTGGGGGGATCAAAGTGGTCTGTTTCTCTCCCCTTCAGTATTCTCTGCAGCCCGCGCTTCTTTTTCGACAAACTGCTGCTGGAGATTCATACCGATCGGCAACCCGCACGCATGAAAAAAAATAGCGCATCATCCTCTTCCAGCTTGTATCAGGGGCGATCTACGATCTAGAGACGCAGGGGATTTCGGCTGCTTCTTTTTCCTCGGGGGAACCCCAACGAGAAGACAGCCGTTTGGACTGGTTCTATCCGACTTCTGTCCGAGTAGGACGACGAAGCAACATCGTAGATGYAACACCATAGATACTGGTCTGAGTCCTCCAGCCATGAACGAAAAAGCGTGCATTGTGGGAGAAGGACAATATACCACCGATCACTAAAGAACAATTCGATTCGGCTCGTCTCCGAAGGTGAATATTATGTTCTATCGTGAATAGTTTCTTAGAACGATTTGGCTCAATAGCGATGCATCGAMTMTGTTCTAYCGCAGTGAAGGAGGATATTTAATGCTGACTTTATTGGAGAAAACTCCAGAGTCGAACTCTTMAGAAAACTCATGGTTCGACGAAAGAACAAATGGTAACGACGGATGGTGGACCCAAAGAAAACGATCGGCATTGTCTCGAGGAGGATCAAACAGCCAAGCAGGRTCGAACACGCCATCCCAGAGAAAGAAAAACTTATYCAATTCTTTTCTAGGAGTGTGTGCATCTCGTTTTCAAGCCAAACAATGAAAACAACGTACCGAAATGACTTCGTTCGGAGCCCCGTTCACCATCTGGTAGAGCTTCAAGATAAAACCCGAGGGAACATTAGATGAGCTTCCCGTCGTCTCATTTTTGGTGATGGGTGGTGGTGATACTTTTATTCCAGCATTCATGATTTTCGTCTTCGGCTGGATCRGTTGTGTGACAYCAGGAATCACAGATCGGATGTTGCKACTGCTGTTGTGTTGTGGTTGGAGCATTTTTTTCTTTGGAAAGAAAAAAAAAGCTTCCGAAGAGTGGTTTCGATTGTTTTCCAATCAAATCAAGGCGCAGAAGAAACAAAATTGGTAATTGCGGCATACAKTGCGCTTCGCCACATACAAGCAAGTTATCGTCTGTGCGCCGCTCCCTCGGCAATGTCTGAGGTGTCTRGGATTTCTKTACCRAAACAGCGCGATAACTTCCTCCAAATATTTCGCACTTTCTGGCGGCACTTTTACGGTTACTTACGGTTGTGTAGTAATAGTMCAAGGGAGAGCCAGCCAAACTTGCGACGGACTGGAAAACAAATTCTTTTGAAATTGATTGGTTCATCGTCGCCGTTCATTTCGTCATTGTGCTTTCAGGCTATTACAATGTCTCATCTGACAGCAAGGATTTTTTGCGTTGTGCTTCTAAATCTTCGCGAGTTCGGGGGGGGATTAGTGACGTAAGAAAGCTTACTACTCTACGTKTAGTTTGTACCATACAGTAGATAGTCCGTACTACTGTACAAAGTACGATACGAGTACCGTACCGTACTACCGTACGATTAGGGTATTGTTCATACAACTGCATACACGTTCCCATCGTAAGCGCAAAATAATTCCGTCATGCTGCTCACAACATTTCGTACTCGTACCCAGCGCAGCAACACAAAATATTTACTAGAATTTTTTCCTGGTTCAGTTCATATGTAAGTTGAATACAATACGGAAGTACGAGTACGTACCGGTCCCTTTCAGACTCTGGTTGCAAATGAGAAGTGAACATACCGGTACCGGTACGAGTTAGCTACGGTACATAAAGTCATTAGCACCTTGCACCAGTTTTCAAGGTATTTTACGTTAGTACCACGTACGAGTACCTACTGTACTGGAGATACGAATACGAATACAACAAAAACATAAAATAATTCTGTACTGTAGTACAGTATCGTACGTACTGTGTTGCTATCGAGCCAGTACAGTACGATATTTTCACAGCTGTACAGTACAGAGGTACCGTACCGTAGAGTACGGTTAATTTTTCCCTTGATTCTCATTCGACAKCGACAACGACGATGACGACAAAGGGCTACAAAACTTCTCACAAGCGCTGCCTTATTGCGGTCCATGTCCAGTCGAAGGAGACAAACCGGTTCTGTGCTTACGCTCCACACTGCCCTTCTGATTTCTCTACTGCATTARTGTCCGAAATAAATTGACACACCACTTCAAAAAGACACCAAAAATGGCTGCTCGCAAAGAAAATATTCCTTYAAACTGGAAATCTTGTTTCCGAGACGACCTCTTCCGGAACAAAGTAGCTCTCGTCACGGGTGGGGGAACCGGGATCGGTAGATCAATYGCCACCGAATTGGCTTTGCTTGGAGCAACAGTCGTCATTGCCAGTCGCAGCACGGCAAAATGTGAGGCAGCAGCAAAAGAGATCAATGGCGCCCTAGAGAGTTTCAATKCTTCGTCAGCCGGTCGAGTGGTGGTCGGTCCTTCCACAAACATTCGAAAGGAAGAGGAAATTCAAAAACTGATCGAGCATATTGTCGAAAAATACGGAGCCCTCAATATGCTCGTCAACAATTCTGGTGGCCAGTTTATTCAAGAGAGCGCCGAAATAAGTCGACGGGGATTTGCTGCTGTCGTCGAGACGAACTTGCAGGGCACGTTCTTGATGATGCGAGAGGCATTCAATCAGTACATGAGGGATCACGGGGGTTCARTCGTGAACATAACCATTGGAAATCGGAACGGCATGCCCGGAATGATGCATTCTGCGGCAGCTCGCGCCGGAATCGAAAACATGACGGCATCGCTTTGCACGGAATGGATCGAGAGCAATGTTCGAATCAATTGTGTGCGTCCCGGCATCATCTTTACGGAGTCGGGATTCGAGAATTATGGCCCAGCTGGCGAATATTTTATAGGGAAGATAATGAAATCGCTGCCGTCGCGCCGACTTGGATCGGCGCAGGAAGTCGCTAGCGCCGTAACATGGTTGCTCTCGGACGGTGCATCATATGTTACTGGCAGCACCATTTGCGTAGACGGTGGTGGATCCTACGTTGGCCTTCCTTTAATAGAAATAGAAGACAAAGCACATTTATCAGTGTATGGAAGCTTGCCGACGAGGGCAAAGCTGTGATGGATAAGTCTTTGTAACAAAACACGAAACAAATAGTTTGATCTGGAAGTGTTCTAAGAATTTACTTTTCATGTTTTCATTGAAAGGTAGCGTGATTTAATTGAAAACTTTGTAAAAAGTACCTARTTCCAGAAGAAACAAGAAGTAACAACATAGTGCCGTATTTTCGCTCATTCCTCTTTCGATGACGCCGATGATCTAGACTTGATGAACTCGTAGTTGTAACTCTTCCCGGTTTTTGGATCCAGCTGCGCTTTTGGATTTACTCGATCAGAAGGGTCATAKGGTCGGTACGATCCAAACAAATAGTCCCAAAACATTGTATATTGTCCGTAATTGCTCTGGGGGATCCGATGGTGCACGTCATGGGCTTTGGAATCAAATACGGTTACACCGAACAACGTGAAGCTTAGATCGAACCGGGTGTGGTTCAGTCCAGCGAGCACACCGCCGATCGCCAGGAATAGAAGAGGSGCAAGAATGTGCATTCGAAGGTTGAAGACGCGACAGCACAAAAAGATCGTCCATAGATGGTTGTATTCTCCGAGGGTAAACTCGACGGGATGAACATTGACTGCATCATCGGTGGCCCTGCTCGGTGCCTTCTGGGTATGATGGTGTTTGTGAATGACTGGGTATACCGCTTGCAGGTGCAGAAATCCATGCAAAAGAGTATAAAAAAAATCGTACACGATGAATAGTACCGGTATGGGCAACAGAACTGTTTTAAAAGAGAAATTTCCGTCCCCGAATGTCCACAATACATTCGATTCGTGAAAACAATAACGCAGTAAAATGTAGAGAAAGGGCCCTGTCTGCGCCTTTGATATACCAATAAACAACTTGTCTCTTGGACTCAGATCATCGAGATGCTTGCCCCGAACCGGAATACGTTTCGCATTTATCCAATCTAAATGATCGATGACATGGAGAACGAGATAAACAGATGGAAAAATGGGTAAGCAGAAGTCTTCGCTAGGTTGTTCCTCCCGGTTTGGTGCATTGTCGGGGACATCTTTTCAACACCACAGCCAGGCAAAGGATCGTACCTCCYAAATTATTGCATATGAAATTGAGTAACTCCAGTGCCAACATGATGAGTGCCATGAACAAAACCTTGTCCATCGTGCTCCAATGCTTGGGTCCAGAAGCAATCCGGGTCCATGGATCCATCGTAGATGCTTCGCTTTCGCTATCCAATGCAGCTGTCACCGACTCGGCTTGAAAGTGCAGGACGCAAAGCGCCACCGCAAATGCCACATTTAACAGAGGCAAAGTCCAGGAAACGGATGAGGTGCTCGTGTTCGCACGACTCATTTCTATCGATGTCGTAACCTTCGCTTTTTCGCTCTTTAACCTGCAGACCCACAGCAAAATCGTCCGACCTTTGATTATCGCTGGATGATCAATGRTCAGCTAATACCAACAGAGAAGCTCTCGAAATAGTGTTGTTGATCCGATTTTGACAGAAGCTGCCGTTCGGTTTCGAACCATCGCCACCGAAAATTCAAAAAGTTTTGACTTCATTCTTTATYTTGTTGGAAGTTCTCTTTGTAAAACGGCTTGCCAGCTCACGCAAATGGAAAACGAGGGTAAAGTTTCGCATTGGGAAACATGACTGAAATATAATGGAGTCACTAATCGATTTCGATTTTTGAAATTTCCAACAGATCTTTCGTTTCTTCCTGTTTTGAGTCGTACGAGTCCGCYTCGGTACGAGTAATAGTCCTAACAAAACAACGGGACGAGACATACGTACCGTACGTTCGGTACGTACCTGGTACCTCGCCGTACCGTATGCATTATCGTCCCGGCAAACACATCTCATCAATCATATCGTCCTTCACCAATTGCTTTTCTAGCGTGCGGTAGTCTGGGACTAGACGAAAAGKAGCACGGACGCCCAGATACCAAAAGATCTGTCGCCGCCAACTTCCTTCATCATGAGTGAGTTTACACTGGATGGTCTCAAAGCAGTTCTGAAAGAAAAAGAACGAGGAGAAAAAGAAAAGGTGGTTCCATTTGAAGCCGATGACACGCTCGTTGCGAAGGAAGACATTCATGAATTCTACCGAGATCACGGCATACTGGGTGGCCCAGTGAAAGGGATCTGGAAGCGTCGGATCCCCGATAGTGTGTACAAKTGTCCACTGTCCCAGCCCCTGACGACKTTGGTSCAGTGGGATTCCTTGCCAAAAATGATTCAAGACCGCTACGAACAACAGAAAGACGGCGATGGTTCGAACGGAGGAGGAGTCGTGGAAGTACGCCGTAGCGATCTGTTTCCGGAAGAGTTTCTCCRAGAGGAGGGCATCGTTGGCGACAGTGGTGGATTGCAGCGTCGCCCTCTGGGAGGAAATTTGACCAACAAGTTGACCGAATACACCCGAGGAAAAACCGGACAAACCAAACCTTTCACCCCGGGCGGCCTGAATCCCGACGAAGCCAAGTCCTCGGGAGCTGCAGGGGCCGCCGCTGGAGAAGCAACCAACCCTTTTTTAACTCCGGAGGCGATAGAACGCTCTCTTCGAGTTTTGAAACAGGGATCMAAGGCATCGTGGATGGATGGCAGCTTGATCACATGTCCACCGGGGGTGGATTTTAAGGTGGGCCTTTCCTACGAGGACGTTTACGGCGAGGACAACGCCGATGAATCCAAAGACGACGGCACCGACCCAGCTAAGACATCCATATCTGAAACAAATCACGATGGGGATGATTACTTGGCAAAGCCAWTTGCAGATAGCATCAGACAAACGAATACTACACGAGCCGTTCAATGGGATCAGAGCTTTTTGGACGATGATTCTCTATTTGGAAGTAGCGTAAGCGACAGTGACTGCGAGAGCGATTCTGATAGTGAAAGTGGCGAAGACGATGATCCTAGTGATGCTGACGACAGGGAATCTGGCAATGACGAGGCCGATAACACGAAGACCGATGGCAATCCAGCAGAATTCGGATYAACCGAACACACCCTCGGATCTGACGAAGATATCGACCAGTTATTGACTGAGCTCAGCCACGCGGAGTCACATACTAAAAATGAAGTCATGAAAAAGGMCAAAMACAAAGACGACGACGATGGGACAGCCAACAATCCGCTCCGATTGATGGAACGGCAGGCTAAGCTGCAAAGAGATACAACACGAAAGTCTTGGGCCAGTACCGAATTGCTGCCTATTGACGATTTTCAGACATACATTCCGAATCCCGCRATGCAGTATCCATTTATCCTAGACACATTTCAACAACAAGCTGTGGCCCGACTGGAACGAAACGAATCTGTCTTTGTGGCAGCTCACACGTCGGCGGGGAAAACAGTTGTCGCTGAATATGCAGTAGCTCTCGCGAAACAACGGGGCACACGCTGTATCTATACTTCTCCGGTAAGCATTGGTTATTGACGTTTTGGCAAAAGGATTGTATTCGYCGTCAATAATGGTCAGTAGTTCTTATCCAATGTTCTATTTATATTTTATCTGTGATCTTCATATGTTGGGAATTACAGATCAAGGCCCTTAGCAATCAAAAATTTCGAGATTTTTCTCTCAAATATGGTTCTGAGAATGTAGGGCTTATTACGGGTGATTTGGTAAGTACGAAAAATGGGAGGGTTCTGGTGCAATGCATATTATTCGAGGAAYCTTTTTCTTAGTTGGGGTTTTGTGTCACGTTGCTTATTCATTTCCACGTTTACCAATGAATTGCGTTGCTACCTCGCTCATGTTTTGCTGAACAGCAAGTGAACGCCGACGATTCAACCTGTCTCATCATGACAACAGAGATCCTGAGAAGTATGCTTTATAGAGGCGCTGATCTTATTCGAGATATTGAATTCGTTGTTTTTGACGAAGTTCATTATGTTAACGATTCTGAGCGCGGGGTTGTTTGGGAGGAAGTAATCATTATGTTGCCTTCCTATGTSAACTTGATATTTTTGAGTGCTACAACACCAAACACCTTCGAATTCAGTGACTGGATCGGGAGAACGAAACGCAGACCGGTTTATGTGATCAAAACCGACTACCGACCGGTCCCATTATCACATTTTCTTTGGGCCAATCTGAAGCTCCACAAGATTAAGGAAGGAAAGAGTGGATTTCTTGACAAAGGTTACCGAGATGCTAGCAATGCTCTGCGACCAAAAGATAACAATAAGAACGCCGGAAAGACCGGAAAGCAGAAACAAAAGCCAGCACCGAAACAAACTGGTCGSGGACCACAAAATATGGCTTGGCAGGCTCAAGGGGGGAAATCACAATGGATGTCTCTTGTAAGATATTTAGAGAGGGAGGATCTCACACCGACGGTGGTTTTTTCTTTTTCAAAGAAAAAGTGCGAAGAGATTGCCAATATGCTTCGAAGCCTGAACATGAACACGGCTTCAGAAAGYGCCGCGATACAAGGTTTCTGCCTACAAACAGTGGCGCGGCTGTCACCGATCGATCAATCGTTGCCACAGGTTTTGACCGTTTGCGAAATGGTTAAAAGGGGAATCGGTGTTCACCACGGAGGATTATTGCCTATTTTGAAGGAGATGGTGGAGGTAAGACCGACATGTCTATTTCAACATTRTGCTTTGTCTTGTATATTCGCAGGCAATTTCTAACTCACGCATTCTTTTTTCATAGATTCTATTTTCTCGAAACCTGATCAAGGTTCTCTTTGCTACTGAAACATTCGCCATGGGAGTTAATATGCCTGCCAGGGCCGTGGTTTTCAATTCAATTCGCAAGCATGATGGTACTCAATTCCGGTGTTTAGAACCAGGTACGAGCAGTTTTTGCCAGAAAGTACTGGTCAGTCCTGGATCCGCTGTAATYCTCGAAAATCATTGCTTTTTTGGGACCTTAGATGTTGCGCTCACGCTTTCAATTATTGTCTTGTAATCATCAGGCGAGTACACCCAAATGGCCGGCCGTGCAGGAAGACGTGGTCTAGATAAGGTAAGTCAGGACATCAAAAGTGTAATTAGAGAAGGGGACCGCATCTATCTTGCTGAGAATATACTAATACATCGCGTGTGAAATATTCTTCAAAACAAGGTCGGAACTGTCATTATGCTTTGTTTTGGCGAGGAGCCACCTCCAGTTGGAATGTTGAGAACAATGTTGACAGGATCGTCAACAATGCTACGATCTCAATTCCGTCTGACTTACAATATGATTTTAAATCTACTACGGGTAGAGGAAATGTCGGTGGAGAGTATGATCAAGCGCTCATTCAGTGAGTTTGCTACACAACGTGCTCTGACGTCTAAGGAATATCCGAAGTTATTGGCGAGGGGCCAAAAAACTCTGTCAAATCTGAAACGCCAGTTTGATGAAGAATCAGGACAGCGAATTGGAGCCGAAGATATTGAGGAGTACTTCTCGAGTTGTAATAAACTGATGGAACTAAACGCAGAGCTTTTGTCTTACATTACAAGTACAACAGACGGATCCGGAGATGGTGTTCTCCAGCCAGGAAGGGTCGTCTTAGTATCGGCGGCAAGAAAGCTGGGGATCGTACGAGCACCTGCGTTGCTATTGGAAACAAAGTTCTCTACCGGAGGGGCAGCCGCCGAAGGCAGTAAATTCCTTCAATGTATTGTTTGCATGGTGTTGCTGCCGGAGCACTATACAAGCGAAGGAAGCGATGGCAAGACCGAAGCGAAASCAAAAGCAGTAGGAGAGATCGGATTTTCGAAGCAACGTTATTATGGAATACACGAGATCAAACTGGACCAAATTTTGTTTGTGACTGACTCAAAGATTAAGATCGAACCGGGCCTGTTGTACACAGAGAAAAAGGCTAGCAATATGAGAATTGCCGGGGGTCTCTCTTCCAACCGAGGATCAGGAGCCTTTTTCGGAAAACCAATGGGTCGAAAGATGGACGACCCTTTTGCTGGAATGATTGCAAGGGGCAAAAGGAACGACGACAATGATTTCTCTKGGAAAAAGAAGGCAAACAAAAGCAGCATATCTTTTGARTCGGCAATCGAGGACGCCGTGGCATTTTTGATTGACAAAGAAAAGGAAGAAATGTCATCCGGWACASCGCTTCTCAATATGATGAATTCTCTGAAGCGGGGGAATGATATCGTCGAGCTCCGAAACCGTGGAAGTGCCATCGAAGAACTGGCAGTGCAACTCAGGAGCTGCCAGTCTCATCGCCACGGTACTCTTGTCAAGTACTACGCCTTGCGAGAGCGGATACACACGCTCGAAGAGCGCGTTCAATCTCTGAGCCACCTCTTATCCAACGAAGCACTACAGCTCTTCCCCGACTTTTTGTGCCGAAAGGAAGTCCTCAAGACCTTGGGTTACCTCGATGARAACGAGGCAGTCGCGGTGAAGGGGCGGGTAGCMTGYGAGGTGAACACCTGCGAGGAACTGATCGTGACCGAAATGGTTTTCGAGGGAATCCTGAACGATCTGGATCCCACCGAAATCGTGGCGGCGTTGAGTGCTCTTTTATACCAGCAGAAGAGCACCGATGACGATTTTGACATCGAGGTTCCAGAATCCCTTTTGAATTGCTGTAAACAAATGAAGAAAATTGCTCTCAATCTCGGTCAGTTGCAGAAGCAGCACGGTCTGGATCTGGATCCAATCGATTACGCCGAGTCTACGATGAAATTCGGACTGGTGCACGTTGTGTACGAATGGGCGATCGGCGTACCGTTCAGTGAAATCTGTCAGCTGACGACCGCCCAAGAAGGATCGATTGTCCGCTGCATCACCCGCCTCGACGAATTGTGCCGAGAAGTACGAAATTGTGCGCGCGTGGTGGGGAATCCGACCCTGTACAGGAAAATGGAGGCAGCGAGCACCGCGATCAAAAGGGATATCGTTTTCGCGGCGTCGCTGTACGTGAGCTAGAGAATGGACGGGATTGAGATACACAATGTAACGATTCAATTATTTTTTTGATATATTGGACATATTCAAGAATTTGGCGCATTCGGCGCATTCAATACCGTACTATATGYCGTCCACAAAACATGAATAATGCAATACTTCCTGTCATTGCAAAACAGGTGGCTATGATTGCAMGCTCCACATACGCCATCCCCRGAAAGCAACCACCGGCGCATTCGTCAAAAGTGTCCTGCCGTGTGACAAACCGTAGCTGCAATTTGAATTTTTATTCCAAAYACATTAGATAGACTTCCGTTAGCAATTTGGTTTTTCCCAATACCTTCCAATTTTTTGTTCATCCCGTGACAGCAAAAACGGTCAAGAATAGCATGATCTMGGATTGCGTCGTGTGTTTGGTTTTGTTGTTTGGTTGTTTCTATTGTTTTTATGCTTTTTTGGAGCCCTGCGCATCCGTTGGTGTCTTTTGTTGTTGTTGTTGTTGCTGCTGCTGCTGCTGCTGCTGCTGTAGCTTTTGCTTCTGCTGCTGCTTCAGGGTGTTCTGTGTGTGGTGCATCCGGGCCGCCTCGTAGGCAGCGGCCGCGAAGCCCCCCACGTAGGGACGGTGGTTGGGACCGCCCGTCCCCGCTCCGGGGGCCGCTGCCGCCGGKTCGTTGTCCTCGTCGTCGGAATCCTCGTAGTCCGAGTCGTCGAAATCGATCCCAAAGGCGATCCCGCCCAGGGCTCCCGGCTGGAGGACCGAGCTGGACCGGCGCTGGGCGCCCGGGGGGGGCTGTCCCTCGGGTGCGCTCCCGCTCGGGCCCGCACCGGAATTGGAAAAGAGCGAGGAGCCTCGTCGATCGTTGTCCGACATGATTGGTTCGGTGGTGTGTGCCTCTGCCTGGTTGTTGCTGTTGTTCTTGCGACAAGGATTCCGGTGATTGGTCCGTTGGATTGTGATAGTTTCTGGCTCCGCGATGCTTCGTGGAAGGTCACGTCAAGTTCGTCCGCGAGGATTGATGACAGAACAGCGAGTGGAGGATGACCATATATAATGACTGGCGCTTTACTGTATTCCCCAACAGTATCGGCGCTGTGCGGAAACATAGAGCTAAAAACACCTCAAACAGTACAAGTTATAAAAGCTACAGTGCAAAAGAACTTTTGTTCGTAGATTATGTGTGCAGCGTCACACTCGTTTGGTGCAAATCGAATAGCCTCCGAAGAGTACGAGCGTCACGGGATTACTACTGTGGTAAATGTACAAACGATAAATACCTGTACCGTAAGGATTTCTTCTTGCCGTGCGTCCGACACGTGGAGCCTCGTTCCATTCAAATCAAGGTAGTCAAGAAACATACATATATGCTAGTATATTAGTTTACAGTTTGAGCATGCTGTTATATCAGCTCAAAACAGTCAGTCTTTGGGATTTGGGTGTAATTCCCAAGGACTGCATCAGGGGGGGTTTATCCCCTCCCCAGGGACATAAGCCTTGGTCTAAAAAAGCCCAAAGGCTATGGCTTGCGCTAGAAACTGAATCAGTGTTCTTTAATAGGCCCTGAATGCCTGGATGTGGAGATGTACTCACTCATCACTTTATTTGGGCACACTGGGCTCTACAAAAGAGACAGTGATTCAGTTCAAGGCTTCAATTGGATGGAATGGCTCTCGCATTGACTCATCCGATTTAGCACTAATCCCCCCCGTCGTATGTATATACCGCATATTTTCGTTGATTGTTTTGCTCACGATAGCTCGTAGTAGCAATAGCGTATGGCATAAATTTGGCAAGTGGAGAGGCTTTCGTAGTTATACTTAAAGCTTCATTTGGAAACGCTTTAAGCAATCATTTAGCAAATCTTGCTGGGCATAGTAATGCCTGAGGTGCTCGCTTGGGTCCTGTCCCTTGGAGGCTTCTTTTCTGCTCCATCTATTAGCAATATCGATGTCGTTACTACTAACACGGGCACGTGTAGCTTGCGAGGTTGCTGTTCTCCGCATGGATCTAAAGATCTGAATGTGGGCCCTAATGTCCTCCGGGGATGTTATGGTTGCCGGAAACAAATCAGGGAAATCGTTATAAACAGACTCAGTTGCCTCCCAGAGATATTCATTCATATCCGCGTGGGACAGTATAAAGCCCTTTGAGTCACAGAAGACGGGCCCCGCTGTTCGTTTGGCTCTCTGGTGCACTTCCAGTAGTTTATCACGCCAGTGCTTAACATTAATGCCCGATCCAGTTACTTCAATAGATCTCATCAAATAGGTGTGTGGGGAGGAACCTCCCTTCAGTTTTCCGTATATTGGGAGCCACACCAGCCCCTGTTTTATGGCTCGGTGCTTACATAGCAAAGCGATATCCATAAGAAAAGCTTCATTTCCTCTTAAAGATAATACATACCCAAATGTCAGATATGCACCAGCAATGATCCAAGCATCGCTTACAGCCAAGCAGTCTGCTGAGCTTGCATTGAACGCACATCGCTCTAGGATGAGCTTCCAAACTTCAGCACTCACGGCTAAGTTTGGGCGTTTGTCTATACCCATTCTAGCCTTGCAACCTCTCAGGAAACGATTTTGCCAATAGGATGTTGCTCCTCCAGCATGAAATCTACTCGCTAGTCCCTTGTTATCTGATACAAGGGATGCCCCCTTGAATAGTCTATCAGTCCCTACACGTTCAAAGTTTCCAACGGCTGTTTTTACGCGTCGAATGGATTCCCATTGCTTATGGTCTTTGTGATACTTTCCAGCTCTGCAGGAATCGTCTAACACGGCAACAGCTGTCTCGAAGCCAAAAGAATCGTGAGCTGGAGATGGTCCTGGATCATAGAACGGGCCCAGTAAACCAAATTTTCTTAGGGATCTGATAGTCCTATTAACCGTGGATCTTGTGGCTTGTACTGTGCTAGGGGCTCTACTCCAAAAAGCGTCTAGATTTGCTCTCATAATGTATTTCAAGAGCAGCTTATCAGAGCAACTCTTGTTATTAGGATCCCTTCCTTTTATTCTTCTAAAAGCACAGAGATCGCACTGAAAAGGGGTTAAGATGTGGTCACCAGGTCTTGCATAATTAAACTCATTCGGATCAGGCTTCTTTTGCCTCCACTTTTCATTTGCTAAAGACTGTGGATGAGTATCGAAAGATGGATGATTCCTAAAGAAGACTGTATCATTATTCAAAGAATAACAGCTTCCGCACCAGCTTCCCTGGCATCTTGGGAAGCCTCCTACTGACCATGTAAAATTCATGCAAAAGAGCGATTGCACCCAACTCGTTTGTTTTCCACAGCTTCGACAATTGCCTACGTAGTTGGAACATCTTGGGCGTTCCTCTGAGGGTCCAGGGATTGCACCTTAGATAAGGAAAACAAAGACCCATAATACAGGGTTCGAACATGTTAGAATTCCAGTAGGGACACACCGGGGGTATATCAATTACGAGATCGCAACATTTATATAATTGTTTCAACCAAGCAGGGGTCATCAACCTAGGGCATAGAACTATGTGAGTTGATTCGTGGCGCTTTAGTCTTGCTTTGCGAAGCTCCTCAAGTGCTACATCGCATGCAGCAGGTGGGGGATGCCATACGTAAGTTCCTTTCTTTACGATCGGTCTCCATAGCTTATCCTCCCCAAAATTTCCTCCGGTGATATCATGACCCCGTTGGAACCAGTCTATTGGCTGTAAATAGATGACTTCCTCATCCGATGCAACAATATCCTGTATTAAGCTCATAAGTTTTGGTTCTCGATCAAGGCTTGAAAGATGGAAAGGGATAAAGGATCGATATGCGACGCCTGCCATGACTCCTTCGTTAAGTGCTCCCCTGGACACACCGTCCCCTCCTTGTTTAATCATTCGAAAGCCGGACACATGAGTTATTATTGCTTCAAATCCATAGGTCATTTGTAAGGTGTGGAACTCAATCACCATTTCAAGTAATTTTGCACTATTGCTAGTTCCTTTGTACAAAGCGGCTTCTACGGTTTTGTTGTCCGTGGCGAATATTACGAACGCTTCTGTTAGACGACCTGCAGTTCCTTCTCTATTGATGGAATCAAGTACATTTCTAAACTCTCTGTAGTTTGACGACTGATCTACTACATCTGCAGACCAAGTACCATGGTGGTAAGAGATACCATCCGCTGTTAGCCAGTTATCTCCGAATCCATAACCGGAAGCGTCTCCAAACCCATAGTTCACTTGGTATATCTTCTTAGCTCTCATGAATACTTTTGTTGGTTCAGGTTTGCTAAAGAAATTTCGCAGGGCCTTAAGGTCTGGAATAAGTCTTGGGGTGGGCTTCACTGTCTTCGGATGACCTTTAGTATGTGCATCTATTAGCGAATTCCGCAACCTATCGTCTGAAATTGCAGCTAGTTTTTCGGTCCACTCCTTTGCTTTGAGCTTCCATCCTTCCGAGTCCCTATTAGGTCTCCAAGAGTCTATAGTTTGATGTAGACCTTTGAGGTGAGCATTCATTACCTTGTAAGTCATTGCAACATGGACCAGGAAACCTCTGTCCTTTTCTAGCTGCTTGTAATTTAGCTCTGATGTTGGAGAGGCTGCCATTTCATCCTCAATACGTTGGATAATTGGTAGGATGCGGTTCCATTTGTTTTGAGTAATGGACTTGAAGATAGCTTCGTCACTGGCTTCAGTTATTCCTCCAGCCCAGGCCCCCGTGTTGTTCTTAGAAGGAGGTCTAAGTTTACGAGGCGCGTGTTGGATTCCGAGATACTGTAAATACTTAGCTAACCGCTGTGAGGCTTCCCATACCTTCTCTGACAAGGGGCCAGAGACTCTTACATCATCTACAAACGTGACTATAGCCGATGGGATGCATTCAAGTGTGTCATCCCATTTCATGACCCATGGGAGTCTCGGGTCGAAGGTTTCGGCTCCAGGTAAGTTCAAGATTACTCTGTCGTATCTAAAGGGGTTGTTCTTGTCCGATCTATCTCCTAGAACAAATTCTTCAGCATGGTAGTAAAATTTTATTGCGAAGAAGGGACTGGGTCTAAAGCCCATTAATAATCTTGTCCAAGCCACCTCTGTGTTGGATAGGTCTCGTTGTTGTGTTTTGGGTAGCTTGGTGGCTATCTGCTTTAGTGACACGCACAGGAACGGTCGTATCTTTTCAGGTACGGGGAAGTTTAGAAACATTTCCCCTAGGTCTAGGTCCATTACCCAGTAACCGTACGAAAGGTGTCTGATGGCCGTATTGGGTGTGGGTAACCAAAAGTTTGGGGCCCACACTGCTTCGTTTAACCCACAACTGGTGCCGTTGTAGACGATACGAATGTCAAGGATTTCTCCATTTGCTCCGACACCCTTTGGTACACCAAAGAAGTCGATGTAACTGGTACTTTTGTGTATCGGGGCTATGTAGGTCTTTCTAATGACATCACTGACTTTCGTACTGATTTGAGTTACCATTTCCTCTGAGATTTTCCTATGCTTGACCCGATACGTCACAAAAAGTGTTCCCGACCCCTCACATCCCATAGCGTCCCTTTTTTTTTAATTCCGCACCCCCCTTTTTTTATTTCACATGCTTCACGCTTGGTATTTATGTCACATTGGTCGCGTTTTCTCCAACCGAAATCATGGCACCTCGTGAACCCATTTTTGTGGGATGATACAGGTCGCCAT